ACCCGCATGCTCCGTTCCACACAGCGATGGCCCGGGCTGTAGGGTCCGCCGTAGTGGAAGCAGCGTCCTTCTTCACGCCGCTTAATGTATTATGGGTATGGCAAAGTCCTGACGCCCCGTCCTGCGTTTCCTCCTCCACTACTACCAACCTTTAATATCATAGTATTCGCACTAACGTCCTTCTTCATCCCTGTCCCTCTGCTACCATTCACCGACCCCTCCAACGGCCCACGAAAAATTTTCGTCCTCGCCACCGTCCCTGAACTCGCGGAGTATCTCCCCCACGTCGCCCCTCCTTTTCCTCCAGCTCCACTACTCCCCCGCGATGTCAACCCCACTTGTTCGACGTCCTGAGCTCGCTCCATCGCCGTCAACAAGTCGCGTGGGTCATGCAGTCTCACGGCGTTACGTAATCCCTCTTGCAAACCTGCGAAAAAATACCCCAGTAATTGATCTTCAGTTACTCCGGTTGCCTGCGCCACGAGTACTTCGAACTCTTGGATATACTCATCTACGCCCCCTCGCTGTCGCACAGCGGCCAACTTCTCAAAAACAGTTCCCCGGTTCCGTCCTCCGAACCTCTGCGTCAATGCCTCCTTAAACGACTTCCACATTGGGTGTTGGGTTTTCTTCCGCCAGAAGCGGAACCAGTAATTAGCGCCTTCGTCCATACAAACATACACTAACTTCATCTTCTCTTTCTCCGTTACTCCCTGGATGTCAAAAAACTTCTCAGCCTTCTCTATCCACCCAGTAGGATCAGTACCTTCAAAAGTTGGGACCTCAACGCGCTTCATCCAACTACGTTGTACTTCGCCTCGGTCATCCTCCGATTCTTCATCAGTGCTCTCCGCTGACCTTCGTTCTCGATCACCATTGACAGAATTACGACTCCCTTCAGAACTCCTATCTCGATTTCCATAGCGTCGTCCGAAGGCTCGTCGAAACTCGAGAGTCATTGCTTGCATTTCTGCCTTCAACTCTTCCACCGTCGACTCCATAGCCCCCATTCGTCCCTCCATTCTTCTCCGATATAGCTCACTCCTCTTCCCTCCGAGCAGATCCGGCAGGTCGGACCAAATTTGTTAGGTTCCTTTGATTAAGGAGCCGAACAACAATTCCAAGCTCACACACACACAACAGTAAGCAAGTATAGATGAATAGGTATGAATCTGTATTTCTATTTCTGATGTAATGTGTAGAAAAAGGAAATACAAGTATACTATCTCCCCCAAGGAAGCCTCCCTTCCTCCACTAGCCAAGAGGTCCAGTCTCAATACCCAAAATGTTATCTCCCCCTCTCTCTCAAATCTGATTGTTATTTATATTCCCTCTCTCTCTTCTAACAAACTAACCATCTCTCCTCTAACAGATTTCCCCCTCTACCCGCCACTAACTTTCTCCCCTTTTATTCCTCCTCACATACACTTTTAATTGTCTAACAAAAACTTATATGTTGTTTATTACCACACTAAAAGGTTCACTTGAACGAATTGGAATCATAGTATATAACACCCACTTCACAAGGAAGGGGTAATTTTAAGAATGGATGGATAGAAGGGTAGTGTAATTTGAACATAATTCCAAGTAACGGTGTAATTTAACTGAAAAATAAATATACACAAAGGAAAAAAACAGTACATACAGATATTAGAATGTGTGTAAACAGATCAGAACAGGAAAGTTCGGAAAATTCCCATTATACCAAAATGAGTTGTAAAATAATACTTCTCTTTTGAAAAGGGGAAAGATACTCCACAGCTAGAGATAGAGATATTCCACAGAAAATAAGTTGTTTGCTGATAAAAAAGTGTTCTTTTAGCATAGAGAAGTTAGTACTTGGGACACATGATTTCAAGAGAAGGCGTTTCAGCTGACCTAACAAAAAATAAATATGCACCGACAGAGAGGTGTGAAGGGGTTAAGACGGTTCCTTGGGTTAATGGAATACTACAAAAAGTGTGTGAAGAATTAGAGGAAATAGTTAGGCGTCTCACACAACAACTTAAGAAAATCAACTTTGCTTGGGGAAAAAAGCTCAAAGAGCCTTTGAACAACTAAAGGAGGCTATGACTACTACAATACAGTGCCTTTTGATCATTCAGTCACCAAAATGATGTCCAGCGCCACCCCTCCCCCCACATGGTATGTATAAGAATTGGGAGGGGTTGCAACAACCCTACAGAATTAAAAGCCTAGTAATTAATCCTTTGGCATATCACACATTCCCTTACATAATATTGTATAGTTTTCTTCATTCTTTCTCAAAAAAGTAGCCAAGAAATGTGATTGCAAGTTCAAGAATATCCTGAGTGCCCCCCATAGCAAAGTCATGGAATTCTTTTAAGATTGTTAGGATATTTATCCTATTTTATCATCATTATAGTGTGTCAAGGATTACCCTATTTATCATGATTATATTGTGTCAAGGGTTACCCTATTTATCATGATTATATTGTGTCTAGGATTACCCTATTTATCATGATTATATTGTGTCTAGGGTTACCCTATTTATCATGATTATATTGTGTCTAGGATTACCCTATTTATCATGATTATATTGTGTCTAGGGTTACTCTATTTTATCATGTACTTTTGTATCAATTTATTCATATAAATAGAAGATTATGAGAGGGATCAATCAAGCCCTCTAGAATTATTTTACAGTTTAATTATCAAGTAAGATTAAGGAAATTTTGGAGTTTCTTGGAATCACCAACCATTAAGTTTTGGTTTTTACTTCTTAAACCTTTAATCATGGCCTACTTTTTGCAAATCTTCCAATTCAAAAAACTGCATAGTTGTTAGGAATCAACACTATTTCAAGAGAGAACAAACACAAGTAAATCTCAACTTCTCCAATTTCACCAATCACACAACAAAAGATACAAAGGAGCACTCTCCTTCCCACCAGATTATTCCAGTTACAAAACTTAACTATCCAAAAACTGCCCCCCTTTCCGTGTAAACCTCCTATAAGAGGGGTACTAACCTAACTACTAGCAAACACTAAGCTGTAAAAACTACCTTACAACTGTATTCTAAATTATGGTTTTTAAACGTCCTCCTATAATAAACCTGCAACTATCTTACTGTTAAAATGTTGTATTTGCTTCTCCCTAACTACAGCAGATAATGCTGTCAATTGCAACTTTCTAGAAAGGACATATGCTGCCTTGTTCTCACTCCCAGTTGTATACTTCATCTCAAAATCATACCTTAAATTCCTGGAAATGTTTAATTTTCCAGGAATCTAAATTTGGGAAACTATGTTTTCCAAGTTTGGTTTTTGGCCAAATTCCTCACAAAAATTTTAAACAAAAAAAATACAATGTTTCTCTTATTAAATCATTTAAAAAAAATTAACAAATAATTTAGTAAAAATAACATTACTCTTTGGTTTAGAAAACTTATATAAATATTCCCAATAGTATTTTTCACTAACTAAAAAGAATAATTCCTAGAAACCATGACTCCTGGTTATAAAAGAATTGTCTTCTACCAAACACCCCCTAAGAGCTTTGAAATCCAAGTTTGTTGTTCTTCCCCATGACTCTTTGATTTGACAAGAATCTGAGAGCCTTTTGATCTGTCTGCACCACAAAATGCCTCCCCATCAAAGTCCACCTTTGAAAGGAAATTTCTTGACATACCTGGTCTTATTTCTAGGGACTTCATAGGAAAAACCATGGGGGTCAGCACTTTGGTTGTGGTAGACCAGTTAACCAAATATGCTCATGCTATCTTGCTGGCACATCCTTATCCAGCCAAAGTTCCATGGCCCTTATGAAGTGATGGAAAGGATAGGTGCTGCAGCATACAAAACTGAAATTGCCTTAAGGGAGTGATGTCCATCTCATACTCCATGTCTCTAACGAAAAAAATTATAGCAGCAACCAAGTACAGCTTAACCTCTTGCTTCATTCCTAACAAGTGATTGGGAGCTTCAAGTCCAACCAAAAGAAGTACAAACTACGTGATTGAATGACCAAGGGAATATAGAGATTTTTGTCAAATGGAAGCACCTTCCAGTTTGTGAAAATTCATGGGAATTCATTGGATGAGTTCCAGGAGCAATTACCAGAATTTCACCTATAGGACAAGGTGGATTTTGAAGGAGGAAGAGTAAATGTAGACCAAAAGACCTTGTGTCACTAAAGTTTATGTGAGAAGTTCCAAGAGAGAAATGCAGGACAGTGTGCAGCATCACACCTAATCATAACCAAAAGGACAAATATTTAAAATGACTGCCAAGGGCTGTTGTGGAGCAGGTGCTATCTAAAGTAAATGTTTATGTGGGTATCACGGGGAAGATAAGAGAGCATGAGTGGAAGATAGAAGGAGGCAGATGGGGTATGGGAAAAATTAGTTATGACTTGTGGGAGAGACTAGGCACTCTTGAATTGCCTAGAACTTGTATTATATTCTGCAATTTCTCACTGCAATAGAATTCAAGAATTTGAAATCACACTGATTCAGAACTGAACTTTCCTAAATTAATACGTTGTTTCTGCTTTTTACTTTGTCCATCCACTGGTACCTATCAGAGAGTAAGGGAAATGGTGAGTTTGTTAAACAAATGGGATAAGCTGCCAGTTTATGTTTGGTACATTGAATGGGTTGAGGGAATATCCAGGTTGTTGATAATCATAAAAGGCAAGGAGATAATAGGAGGAAACATTTTGTTGGTGGGCTAGAGCCTAGGGATGGACAGAAAACTTACCTCAGAGGAGCCATAGGCACCAGGCATTTTATGTATATATCTCTCAATATGAGTATATTTTAATTTTGCGCTTGAGCTTACAGATACTTGAGTAATTTTTCTGGTTTCCTAACACTATGCAACACATAATGATACAATTGAAACAAAATATTGAGCCAGGCAAAATCAAAACCAAGAAGCTATAATAGCTTAACTATTTTCTTGATCGATACTTGAAGCAAACGCCCAATAACATTTCACCATCTCAAAGAAATATAAAACATAGGAAGGGATTAGGAAACTGCACATAGTTCTAGCACAAACAACGGCAACAGTTAAAAATTTCTGAAGTGCATTGACAAATGATATACATACAGAAAAAAAGTTCAAACGACAAAATCAAATAAATATTCACCTTGGCAAGGTCTCGAGTTAACTTCTTCACTGTTGCTGCCGATTGATCTCTCTCCTTCGTAAGCTTTATCTACAACCAACAAACAGAAGACAATCACTAACCATCAACTCTAAATAAGACTATCCTATTAACTTGTGCAAATTATTCAAACACACAAGTTCTCTCTAAGCAAGAGAGTCAATGCCAAGCTTCTCATCCATCCTCTCTTACCCTCACCTTATATTTAGTTCCTTAAAAATATATTACGTGACATCAATTACTAAAGGCTGACACTAGAACACTAGAAAATTTTTCCCTTCCATTGCAAACTACTAAACACAACAATTTACGATAACCAACCAGCACCAACAATCTACAATAACCATCCCACATCCACTACATCCATTCCTCCTTTTCCTCTTTTTCCTCTGCCTCCACTCTTCTCAATGCTTATCTCTCGATGGTACAAAAGAAGCCAATTTTACATAATAGATGGTCATCATTGTTCATTAAGCACAGGCATTCCAATATAATAATCTTTTGAAATAATCACTTTTGTCTCAAAAATAAAAAACGCACTGCCTTTAGTTCAGTTCGCTTAGAGCAAACAATCTTTCATGTTTAACACCGTCAGTCTTTAAAAACAAAAGATTAATGCTTTAAATTTAATAAGTACACCCGCAGTTAATATAAAACCAATTTTCATAGTAAAAGCTGGTTCTACAGTAAATACCACTCACACTCACACACCTTTCCTCTCTCAAGCTTTTACTAAGTCTACATCTGGAAGAGCTTATTTGAACTCATCTTAGCACATAACACAACGACTTGTACACGCATTTGAGAGAAAATATGAAAAATAGGCCATAGATTATAAGTTGTTTTCAGTCTGATGATCCATAATGCGATCCTCAATCGTTAGACCTAAGCACAGAACTGCAGATGACACAGCAGTTCCAACAAATTTTGCTCAAATACTCTGTGATAGTATTTTACAAAGTGGATTTTTAAGCATCACTCAACCTCACAAAAAGAAATTATAAGATAACATTTGTACCCACTAATATACTATAATTTAGCTATACCTGTAGTTAATATGAGATTTTCATCACCGCCCACAAAAACTAATTCATAAGGTGGGAGAGCTCAACTTGACTGATCAAGTAGCTCACATACTCCACGTGTGACTCTAACACACCTCACCATAACTTAAGAACGTTTTCCCTTTGAAAACTAACAATACAAAAGGGTTATGTTGTTTTGTTCATGGACATGGTCCACACAGTATCCCAAAGACTAGTTCATTAAGTGAGAGAGTCTCAAAACTACCAGATCAAGTAGTCTCAAAACACACCTCACCACAAGTTACGAAATTTCCCCTTTGATAAATAAGGTCATTTTGTTTTCTTGACGGACACGGTCAACGCGGTATACGAGAGCTGACAACCAAAAAATATAGAGGTTTATACATGTATTAAGACCATAATAATTTGTAATTAATTTTAAAAGAAAAAGAAATATGCGAAGTGAGAAGGGATAAGAAGCAAACGTTATCATTGAGGGCGTTGTTGAGGGTGGAGTCGGATTGGTGGCAAGCGCGAGTGAGAGAGGAGAGGCGTTCTTCGAGGTCGTGGATGATTCGGTCCTTCTCTTGAAGCTTGTTGCGGAGGCGAGAGGTGTCGGCTTCGAGAGCAGAGACACGGGAAGCGATGGCCATGGAGGTTATCTTACGAGCCAGATCGAGCTGCTGGTAAGGGTCGGTTGGGATGACGGCGAGAATCTCGTCGGGGAGGTCGAATTCCACCGCATTGCTCACTGAACCCGCCATGCTCTGCGACATGCCACTCAACCCTCAGCAACAACAATTCCACAGAAAGGGTTTGGTTGAGGTTGTCGCAGAGCTGGAATGAACGAGGGAAACTAAAATATTCTCAAATCAGTGGCCCCGAACCTCGTCATTCCACAATGAACTAAGTAATTATTATTATTATTATTATTATTATTATTATTATTATTATTCCATTTCTTTATTCCGTCCTCAGCCTTACTTTTTCTTTTATTATTGAAAACTAAAAAAGAATATAACTTTTTCAATAATGATTTATAAAAGACATTTGCAAGGATTAGCTGCTAAATTACATAGTGTCTTGGACTGAGGAGAAGGTTAGGCACGACGGCTGGTTCGATAGAGACTTTGCTATATTGGAGAAAACAAACGACACAAGTAACGTGACAGAAAATGAAGAGACAAACTGACATAAGACGTGGTATAGTCCTTTGTTACATCTACTAAAAGTTAACGCACGACTAATATTAAGAGTTTTAAAACTAGAAAACTAAAAATCATCAAAGTTTCGAGTAGGGACTAAATCTAAAATCGCGTGATACTTCTTAAGAAACAACGAAAAACATATTTAACCCTAATTATTATTATTATTATTATTATTATTATTATTATTATTATTATTATTATTATTATTATTATTATTATTATTATTATTATTCCATTTCTTTATTCCTTCCTCAGCCTTACTTTTTCTTTTATTATTGAAAACTAAAAAAAGAATATAATTTTTTCAATAATGATTTAAAAAAAGCAGATAAATTACATAGTGAGTCAGAGATAGGGTAGTTATATATTTCATTGAATAATTTTTTTATTTAGTAATAAGTAAAATTATTTAATTAGAATAATATACATCTTTTCATATAATAATATAGATTTGTTAAAAAATAAAACTGTGTAATTATAAAATTTTAGTGGTCATAAAAAGTATATTCTTATTTTATTTTAATAATTAAATTTTACTTATATATATATAAATATATATATATATATATATATGTTAAATTTAATAGTTTGAGTTTTGCTATTCAAAAAAGGCACTCATTACATTTATCGCAATCATATTCTTTTGTTCTTAAATATAACTACTGTTTTTTCTTTTGCGTTATATGATATAGTCGTGTTTCATTTTTTTAATGTTAAATTTAAATTTTGCAAAAAATAAAATAAAATAATTTATTTAAAAATTAAGAATAGATTATTACAGTATTTCAATATGTTTTTGACCTTATGATGGAGAGCAATATTGCTGTCGTCCAATAAACTGATTTTTTTTCTTACCACATTAATATATTGGACATTTACTCTTTTATCTTTTCAAATTTTATAATCAAATCTTCAATTTTTAAATTATTGTTTAAATTGATTTTTGTAAATAAAATAAAGGGATTTTGTAATCACCTTTATTTTGGGTTGAAATAATGTACTATCAAATTTCCTTTTTCTTTTTCTTTTTGCTATTTTTGTTTGCATTTTTATAGTATATTTATGTCAATAATTATGCGTCTCAACGTTGACGATAGATTAGAATTTTTATTTTATTTTAAATTTGAAAAAGTGAGATAGTTAAAATTTAGAAATAAAATAAGACAGCTGGTGTCTTTTTCTTTTGTTGGGCTACGTGTGCGTCTCGAGTTTTTCTGAGTGTCCTTGTCTCGGTTTCAATTTTGAGTTTGTTTCCCTCCAAAATGGTCTTTTGCCCAATTTTTATATTTTAGCCTTTTCTTTGTGACGGATCTTTTTTTTATGAATTAATTCAAACTTCAGATATAACCGCCAATTTCTCTTTTCAAAATATGTTTATTAAATTATTCTATTATAATGATTAATTAAAACAAAAAGCATATATAAGTGTTCTTTATTTAAATTATAATATATTTATATCATTTAAAGATTTTAATTATTTAAAAAATAATGGTTTTCAAATAACACTTATTGAAATTTAAATAAACTGGCTCAATACTCGATTTTGAAGTCTGGAGTTTTTTTGTTAGCTTGACATTTCTGTTGAGCAATAATTTTTTATTTAGCCATGTCGTTAAAATATAATTTTACTTCGTTCCAATTATTAGGTAAGGGCATTTGTTTCAAGATATTTCTACTATTGTCAAAAGTATATTGAGGTAGAAATACTTAGTTTTATTCAATTAAAAAAGGAATACAAGAATATTTGTAAATGTATTTAATATCACATTCTCATGTTTGATGATATTTCTATTTCGTGAGGATGACTGGAAATATTACTGAAAAAAAGAAAAAAAATATTTTTCTTAAAATAATAATTAATTTATGGTAAAAATTATAACATACCTGTTTTATTTTTTAACACATTAAATTTTAACAAATTATTTGTGACATTTTTAAAAATCTTAAAATGTTATTAACAATTTATGACCATTTTAAATTGGTTCAAATTAATTAATTTATTAATTTAAGTTTTTAATATTTAATTTCTTCCTTTTCTTTTCTTTTTTTCATCACCATTCTCAATTTTTTGTTTTCTATTCCTCTCCAACAAACTTTATTTTCTATCTTATGAATTTCTCATTTCTTTGAATTTATTCTTAAGTCTTTTGTTTTTTTTAATCTCACGAGGAAAGTTATAATTTATCTTATTACTTGCTTAAGTTTTTTTTAAATTGTGGAGAGTTTCCTACAACCCTAATTATTATTTGGTAAATATTTTCATGTAAAAATAAATTGTCTTTATTCACGTAATAGGTGAATTTAGAATTGGATTTATTGGGTATGGAAACTTTGGATTTGGTTTGGTTTGTTGTTTTTTCTATGTTGTCTTAGTTCGCCTGAGAGGTCTTTTATCTAGTAGCTTCAACTTTTTGACGACATATCCTTTGTCATGACCTAGCACATTCATGACAAGTTGAAGACATCTATGAAAGATGGACCTAGACTCTTTCTTATTGGCCATCTTAAGTCATCATCAAGATTTAGTAGAGTAAGAATAATTTTAGGCCTTGTATTTTGAGCTAAATAGTCTAGATTTTATTCGGGCTTTGTATTTTGGGCAGAGTAGCCTAGATTTAATTTGGGCTTTGTATCATGGGCCTAGTAGTGTAGGATCTCAATTGAGCCTTGTATTTTAGGCCAAGTAGAATAGGATTTTGACCAAACAAGTCAACAAAGGGACAAGGCCAAAAGTTGACTATGATTGGACATCCAAAATGGGTGTGTTGACCAAGGGGTCAACATTTTGGCTAAGCTTGAAGAAAAAGGGAGAAGAATTTCGTCAAAGACATGTTGAAGATTCCCATTGAAGAATTTTCCTCCTGGTTAGTGGCCATGCGTCACTCTAGGAATGAAGAGTTTTTCCATAGGTAGTGGCCACTTGTCACTCTCTCATTTGAGAGGATTTTTGTCACTTGTCTCCCTCCTATTGGAGAGGATTTCTCCTTGCTCTCCAAGCCAACCAAGGTGGCTCTTTTAGGTTAAAGTTTCAGCCCATTTTGAGACACCTTACCCTATAAATAGAAGTGTTCTCCATCATGTAATCTCCTTTAATTTAGATTAAAGTTATGCTGTCATTTTTATGCCATATTATTCTTTTAAGGTCACCCTAGGCTAAAGCAACCCAAGTGGCCTCCTCTAGCCACCTTCCTCTAATAATTGGCCCAATCTCTCTTAGAGAACCCTTAAACACATCTTCCCTCACCATACAACTCACCAAAACCATGAGCTATCAACACCTTTCACCACCACCAAATTCCACAATCTTCATCCATGAATGACTTGATTTGCTTATAGATTTGGCTTGTCCTAGCTAGAGCATTGCCATCATTTGGTATTGTTAAAATAGAATGGCTCAATTTCTCACACCAAGAGGGGGAGTGAACTGGTGAAACGTAAAAACAAAGTCTTTTAAAAATTTTTTTCGCAAAAGGTGATGCCTTTAAAGCTTTCTTGAAACGCAAGGTAAAAGACTTTCTAATATAGCGGAAACTTAATCGAATAAGTACAGAGTATAGTCGATTAAAAGTAAAAGAGTAGGGATCAGAAAATTCAAACACTACTTTTTATACTGGTTCGGCCAACCTGCCTACATCTAGTGTCCTTCCAACCACGGGAAGCAAATGCACTATAATGATCAAGGTTTCTACAACAAGGCTTTTATAGAGACCTCACGTAAAAAATATAAAACACCTCTCTAACCCTCTAATCAAATATAGGCAGTACAATAACTAGACCAGCAGAAAGAATCCCCTCTCCTACTGTCTAAACCCTTTGAGAAACCTCTCAAAGTCAAGAATGTAGCACGCTCTTCTTCCTATAGTCACAAAAGGGAACCTCAATCCAATATTCACAAGATTGTAAACTCTGATCTCACAGTTACACCCAAATGTGCATAATTGATCAGCCCTTTGAATACACAACAAACTTGCTCTTGAAGAAATCACAAGGAGATGATCACCACGGTCACTTCTTGATTCTTGGAGCTCTTTTCCTCTTTCTGCAAGATAACACTTTTCTGAAAAATATCACAAAAATTGTCAGATTCACAAAAGTTCTTACAAAAATCAAATTTGTGTCAATTTATAGTATAGCACATCTCTGACACATTTTAATCGACTAAGCTACTAATGCAGTTGAATATAACAATTTTGTTATAGCAGTTAGCAGCATTCAAAGCAATTAATTGAATTCGCAATTAATGCAGTCGAATGACATTTAATGCTTGGTCAACATATTTAAAAATATGACCGTTAGACATTTATATCAAGCATTAACAAGGACTTAGTCGAATGCAACACACATATAATTGACTATGTAACAATGTAAATCATAGTTTTGAAAAACTTTCTCTTTGAAAAATCTCACAGCACACTTTGAAAAAGGTTTATGCAAAGACACGAGTTTTAATCGACTCACCCCATAATGAAATCGACTTAAAACTATTGTTTTGCCACAAAATTAAAATTAAACATTAATGCTTGTGATTTTTCTCATCCAGAAACATGTGTCATGCATTCATGTATAAAATCACATATATAACACAGTGAAATGCAGTGAAATGCAATGAACAACACAATAACTACACAATCATGTTCAAACAAAAAAAGAATCATTTCATTTGGAGTTTGGTGGAGAAAGTTGAGTAAAAC